CCCCAAAACCCCAAAACCCCAAAACCCCTGAGTGTAGATAGATATGAAAAGAGAGGGAATGTATGATAGATAGTAAGACTGCACTAATTGTGTTTATTCTTAAATGCTAAAATGATAAAAGGTATTTATTATATATTAGAAATTAAGGATCTTTTTTGCATAAATCAACTGCTGAAAGATGTCAACCATGAAAGTAAGGTTTCTCGTTGTTTAAACTCCCTTTTCAGTTCAACATTGCATACCCAGTTACTGGTCTTCAAAAGAAAATTGAGATTGATGACGATAAGAAGATGTAAGCCCCTTTATCCCAATCATTCATTAATATAGTCGCCACTTCTACGATAGAAGAATGGGACAAGAAATCGACGGAGAAGTTTTGGGAGAATAGTACAAAGGATACGTTTTCAAGATCACTGGAGGTAACGATAAGCAAGGTTTCCCAATGAAACAAGGAGTCTTGGTCAACGGAAGAGTTAGATTGCTCCTCAAGAAATGTAAGTGCTTCTTTCACAAGTCTTTACACTCGCCCTCTTTGTTCTTTCTATTAATTAATAGAAAATCTTAATTATATTTAAAATAGAGACAACTACTTACAGACCAAGAAGAACCGGAGAGAGAAAGAGAAAGTCTGTCAGAGGATGCATCTGCGGTCCAGATCTTGCCGTTATCGCACTCAGAATCGTCAAGAAAGGTGATGCTGAGATCGAAGGTGTTACCGATGGTGACAAGCCAAGAAGACTCGGCCCCAAGAGAGCCAACTACATTAGAAAGGTCTTCGCTCTCAGAAAGGCAGACGATGTTAGAAAGTACGTTGTCAGAAGAGAAATCAAGAAGGGAGACAAGACTTTCTACAAGTCACCAAAGATCCAAAGACTCATCACTGAGAAGAGAATCAGAAGAAAGAAGCTCATCAAGAGAGAGAAGGTCAACAGATTCAAGAGATCCAAGGATGAGAAGGCCAAGTACGACAAGGTTCTATCCAAGTACATCAAGGAGAGAAAGGCTGCTCACCACACTTCACACGCCGCCCCAGTTGAAGCTGCTCCAGCAAAAACCGCACCAGCAAAGGCTGCCCCAGCCAAGACTGAAGCAAAGGCTGCTGCCCCAAAGAAGAAGTGAGATCCTTCTAATGAGTGACCATAGTAGAACTAGTGTCACTTAATTTCAAACATACAAATCAATAACTCCATTCCTTTTTCATTTTTATTACATCATGATTATAAAATTCTCATATATGTTTCTAGTCACTCTTATGGGGTTTTGGGGTTTTGGGGTTTTGGGGTTTTGGGG